GCTGTGTTCATCCAGCTCTGCACCTTGTTATCTCAGATTCTCCAGCATCTGCAGTTCCTGCTATCTCTTGTTAGTTGTCATTTGTTTTTAATGATACCTTCACTTCTTGTTGAAGAATGTAACAGTCTGCTGCTCCTCCCAAAGTTGGGTTCGATATTTAATCAGGAGTCTGAACAGTTAGACTTTTGCTTCCATCCATAATGCAAAGTTTCCCTGTAATGGGCTGAATTTGGAGGTTGTTTCAGTATGAATATTCTAAATATTTTTATATTAGTGATCAAAGTCACATTATGATTATGTACATTGTAATAAAAGTAAATGGCATTTTTTAAGCCCATTAAACTTTTGCCTTACCAGATGTGCTGTGGTTTGAGTATGACTAGTTTGAGCCAAGTGCACATCTGACTGTACAGATCTGTCCCAATTGTTGATATAGATTTTTTTGTTATTTTTAAACAAAAATAAATGGCTTCTTTATACTTGCTGTTCTTGTATGGATAAAAGATTAAGCTTCATTCTTATGGAAGAATATGGATATAGAATATCAGCAAAGTCATTAACCGGTGTGGTGCTGCATATTGGTTACACTCAGACAGATTTGAGGATGTTTTATTAAATAGTGTATGCCATGTCTTCCTAAAATGGCTGATCCACAGCAAATTTTGCATGAATAGCCATGAGTTGATTCCAAAATTCATCCATTTTGACAACCATCCTTAACAGATTCACTAATTTGTTTTCATATTTCATAGTTACATGTGGAATGATCTCTTCCATCTTTAATGTGTTCTGTCTCCTATTCCACTGCAAGCCTTAGTTGTGTAACAATTTTTTCTTTTTACTCAAATGTGGGCATTGCTTTCTCGCCAGCACTCACTGCCTATCACTCACTGCCTTTAAAGGCGGTGGTGAGCTGCCTTCTTGAACCACTGCAGTCTATGTGCTACAGGCAGACTCTCAATGCCCTTAGGGAGGCAATTTTGTGAGTTTGACCAAGCAATAATGAAGGAATAATTGACGCTGACACCCACATCACGAGTGAATAAAAAAACAAATCATGGTGAGTGGCTTAGAAGGGAACTTGCAGGTGGTCGTCCTCCTACATATCTGCTGCCCTTGTCCTTCTAGACTCAGGATCAGGTAGATTTCTGTTGTGCATCTTGAAGATAGATAGTTCATACTGCTGCTGAGTGTCAGTGGTGGAGGGATTGTGAACGTGGTCCTAACTAAGTGGGCTGCATTTTCCTGGGTAGTGTCAAGCATCTTGAGTGTTGCTGGCTTGTAGATTGTGGAGAGGCTTTGGGGAGTCAGGAAACGAGTTACTAGCCACAGTATTCCTAGCCTCTGATCTGCTAGTGTGGCCACTGTATTTATGGCAAATCCAGTTGAGTTTCTGGTTAGTGCTAACCCCCACGATGTTCCTAGTGGGAATGTCAATGAGCTGTGGTTAGAATGTCTCCAATTGGAGACGGTCCTTTTTGTGGCATATTGTGGTGTAGATATTACTTGTCAGCCTAAGCCTGGATATTGAATCAAATGTTGCATTTGATCATGAACTGCTTCATGTTGTGCAATCATCAGTGAACATCCCCATTTCATAGGGTCCCTACTGTGTGGAAACAGGCCCTTCGACCCAACAAGTCCACAACAACGCTCGGAGCATCCCACCCAGACCCAGACCCATCCCCCTATAACCCACCTAATCTACACATCCCTGAACACTATGGGCAATTTAGCATAGCTGAGCTTACACATCTTTGGACTGTGGGAGGAAACCGGAGGACCCAGAGAAAACCCACACAAACAGGAGGAGTATATGTAAACTCCACACAGACAGTCGGCCAAGGGTGGAATCAAACCTAGGTCCCTGGTGCTGTGAGGCAGCAGTGCTAACCACTGAGCCACCGTGCCACCGTGCCACTCCTATCTGACCTTAGGATTCAGGGAGGGTTATTGGTGAAGCATCTGAAGATGGTTGGTCCTAGTTGTCAGCTGTAGAAGGCTTTCCTCTTTACACTTGCTCCCTCCTTGTCACCCCTATGTAAACAAGTCTTAATTCTAATGACTGGATGCTATTCTTCATGTTGTCATTTAGCTCACTGCAATTCAATATAAGCCAGCTTGCAGGGTTGATGTATCCACAGAATCTGGTCTTCACGGCTGTTGTGAGGTGGAGCTAGTTTCAGTCCCAAGAGTATAAAGCAATCCTGCAAGTACTGTATGTGAATATTCCAAAAACTTGCGCCCCATTCAACAAAATGTATAATTTACTCCTGCAATTCACCAAGTAGGTAAATGCTTTTATTCAAATAATATTTCCATTTGAATGAGACGACTACACGGCAATGCATGTTTCACTTTTGCAGTGATTAAATATTTAGCACCTAAAATTTTGCATCTTAATTTGGAGCATTTAATACTCCATCCTCTGAGACGTTAACCTTGGTTTTGTTGGTTTGCTGGAAGGAGAAGCCAAATGCTAGACAAAACCATGAAGGAAGGTCACGGGAATGTCTCATCAATCTACTCAGCTGCAGTTCAAATATGGTTTGATGAAATTCCATTTCTCATGAAGGTATTCATTCACCCCTTTACCATTGCTACTGGAATTGCAAAGCTGCCGTGTAGGCAACTTAATTCAAGGAATTACGTGACATTTGCGAGAACTGAGATTTTGCTCATGTAGATATTATACCAGGTACAATAATCTGGAATGAATTTTCAGGTGATCGAAGCAGTGCTGTAAAGTTTGCACTACTGTATAATGTGTGTTCACTTCACATGTAGCTGGATGGAACTTATGATTCCTGTTACTACATTCCATAATCTCTCATGCAGAACTACTAGTTCCTATTATTGGAGATTTGAACAATTGTGCTGCTTGGTTGGAGATTGTAGATTTCCATGAGTTTTGATTCTTCATTCATGCATATCAGTCTAGACATGGTATTTTGTTTTGTTCATTAAAATGGTTTTACAAGCTTACTACATACAATGATCATTTCAACAAAGCCTTATTGCAGTGGGGGAGTGGTTGAAAATGCACTAAAATACCAGGCCATTTAGTTTAGAGATAAGTACAGGTAGCTCATGTGCTTTTAGAAGAGTAAGAATGAAAAGTTAAGGAAAATTAAAACAAGGTACAATGGATGCTGGAAATCTGAGTATTTCCAGCATTTTTGTATTTTTATTTCAAAAATTTTGAAGAACTTAGTAAGTATCCCATTAGTAAACAGTCCTTGTTTTTTTTGTAATATAAAACAAGTGATGCCATGGAGAATGACTTGCAGATGAAATGTACTTTCAAAAGCTAATGTGCATGTGTTTGGTTTAAAATGGCAGGATTCAAACTGCTTTCTGATCTCAGATTAAATGATTTCTTAAAGTACATGAATATTCTATTTGCCGTATCTATCTCTACTAGTAGACCCATGAAACTGGAACCCATTGTGCTGTAGTGCATGCACTTTCAATTGCCTCCACCAGGTTACGCACTGTGTCTTCAACTTCATTGTTAACCAGTGTCAGGTCAAACCAATGTCCATAGGTGTGCTGTAGTATTTCTGATTCCTTTTGGATTTTCTTAAGAGATTCAACCTAAAAGAAAAGATAGTTTGCTTTAAAGATGTGCTCAGTGTGATACTGAAACTAATGGAAGGTAATCCCTGTTTCATTATTTGATTAATCTTTGAAAATTGTAATATCCCAATTTCGTCTAATCCAGAGAAAGGTTAGGCATTTTATTGCCTTGCTGCCATCTTTTGGTGTAAGGATAAGTTTGGCTGTGACACCGTCCAGAGACTGCCTGAAATTACCATGATAGTCCACAAAATTCAGTTTCCAACTATATTAAAAATAGATCTCAATCATTTGTTATCAGGCAAGCTTTTTTTAAAAATCTAGTACATGCTATGTGTCACCTGTATGTAAGCTGTAGTCCATCTTGGTTATGGAAATACAGAAACTGACTACTTTCCCCATCCATTAAATTTCTGGATCCCACTCCTCTTCAGCTCTTTAGCCAAAACCCTCACTCATGTCTTTGTTACCTGTAGACTTAACTATTGCAGCATAAACCTGGCCGTTTCCCATGTTCTTCTCTCTGTAAAACTTTTTATCTAATGTGCTGTCTGTTTTAAATCTCACCAAATCCCGTTTCCCTATATGAGTCACATACGACTACTTTGTTCAACAAGTCACCAAAGTTCATCTTAAATTCTTATTCTGATTTTTCTAATTCCTTATAGCTTTGCCTCTCCCCATTTCTGTAACCTTCAGTCCCACCGTCCTCCAAAGTATTTGTGTCAAATCCCTGAATTGCTCCAAGCCGTGTCTAGTGTCAGCGGCCTAGGCCCTTATCTTTGGAATTACCCCCCGCCCAAAAAAAATCTCAATGATGCTCTCCCTCCTCTAGGGTTTCAAAAAGCCTACTTCTGCACAAACGTTTAGCCATTAGCCCAAAGTATTGCTTTGAGAGTTGGGTGTGAGTTATGCTCTTTAGTGCTCCTGCTAAATCCCATTCTATGTTCTGTAACATTAAAAATTGTATAAAGTCTGCTCTTATGAAATATTAAATGATCTAGTCTGTT